ATCTTCAATGACCACATCAGCAACAAGTTCAGAAATGGAACTGGAAGGAGAGCAAAGAACAAGAAATTTGATGCCGAATTTAATAAATATTAATATTCAAATATCCAAAAAAGAATCAAGAATATTAAGAATATTCGAAATGTGTCAGATGACTTTTGTTAATATGGAATTTCGAATATTCTTCAAACAAAATGAGGAGAGAGGTAAAGTATCGTTTCTATGATTAAGCACATGCAATTCTTAGTTTTTTGTTTTTTATTGTATGTAAATCCGTTCGCCAAAAAGGGATAATGATAATTATATTCGTGTGAATAATTTTAATGTTTATGGTTACTCAACCAGGATAAATAAAATTCATATATATTTCCAAAATCACTTATTTTGATTAGAATCCTGAATTTCATATATACAAAACCGGAAAGTGTACATGTAATGATTAACCTTTTTCACAATGAATGAATGGTTCTTTTTGGAATAAACAATAATTCACTGATTTCGGAGTTATCGTATCCATATTAATATACTAATATACTTAATGATTGGTCAAATTACAAATTCATTTTCTATAAATATCAATAAAATAAGTTCAACGAGAGAAACTTTATCCTATTATTCGATATGAACAAAGGATCTCTATTTAACCAAAGAAAGCAAATGAAATCAAGTTTCTTGAAGGCTACCTTGGGGAAAATCGTTTTATTTTCATTCCTTCCAACTGTGACTGCATCTTTTGTCAACGAAAATTATAGATCTGAAGGGGAAGTGTATGATGCAATCCTTATCACATTTTTTCCAGTTTTTTTTGTCATTCTGTTCAATGTTTCAGGGAAAACTGGACGCATCAAAAATGTGCTGTTGCCATTATTGGATGACATATTATACAACATAGTCACTTGGGCGATTCCGTTGATAGTTTCTTTTGCCTATGATGATTTTCCGAATATAAAGATGTTTTCAATTGTAAACATGGGTTTACATGTAATTTGCGCAGCAGGAGCGATAATTAAGTGTAAAAAAGTTCGTGATTCCGAAACTGATTTTTTTAATTTTATCGGTTTATTCTTGATATTTTTCCCAGCCATAATCATTCCAACATTCTGGGTTGTTGTTATTAAAACTAGACGCCTTTTCGATCCAATTAGCATAGTATTCCTTGCATTATTTGGGATATTGTTGGTTACGCCAATCATTTATTTTATACTATCTTGTCTTAGCGATTGTTTAAAGCAGCGTAATATTTTCGGTAGATTTTTTCTTCCTGGATGGTTTTATCTCCCAAATATTCTGCAAACATTATTTGTTGTGTTAAAATGGCCAATTGATTTTTACTTTGTCAAAGCATGCGTGTTTATACTGGTTCTCTCTTTAACAAGAAATGTGTCCTTCTTTACAGAGGAG